TAGGAGGCATTTTTTGTCTACGATTCAAAGAACTAGTTAGTACCTATATTTTAACTGGGGACTCGTAGCGCCTTTGTTACTAATTCACCTACCTTGACAACTTGTTAACTTTATCAACATCAAACAACAAAATTTCCATGAAGAGTCGCGTGGACCTAACGTGGTTTTTCATGGAAACTATCGCTGGTATATCTAGCCTAGCCTTCCTGCAATAATGACAGCTATGCTAGAGCTGTCATTATTGCAGGTAGGAGCACTATTATTCATGTAGTTAAAAAATATGTACAGATTTATCTATGTCTGGTATTCTCAATTGTTTACTTTTTACCAATTTGTCTAATAGAAGTAAACTATTGATAATAAAGTACCTGCATCATTTATTAATTACATTCTTTAAAAACTGCCTAGTATTTAGAATTCGTCAAGTCTCAATATAGTATGTTACCTGATACCATATTATTAATCACTCTAACTCCTAATATCTAGTCTAATCTAATAAATCTAATCTATCTTGACTTACGTCTACTCTCCCTACGTCACGTCACCTTATATTGCACGTGATACACGCTTAGTTAGGAAAACAAAACACATAAAAATAGTAGGTAAGTAATATAAACATAGTACCAAAGTAAGGCATACCAGGAAAAATCATTGGAGACTGCAAAAGTCTGTAGCTATCAAGATAAATGTGCCTAACATTACACACCCTCTTGCAAAGAACAAAAACTAACAATAAAAATATGAAGGCCATTGTTAAAATTAAATGTAACCAAACGAAGCATTATATTAAACCATTTTCCATAAGAGCCACTTCAGTTAACTACAGTGACCTTGAATGTGTTTTAAAATAGTATGTATGATCATTATAAATGCGATGCATTTCCTAACAAAATGATTGATAATTTATCTATATTGATATATACACTTATAATGATTATTACCCAACTGTGTAGAGATTTTATATACGTAGGTATGTCATTCGTATACAGATGTTAACAACTACTAAGATAATATGGAGTATGCAACGGATATTACCGATTGACTTATCTAAATAAAGGCAGACCTTGAGACCGCCTGTTACAAGTCCCCTCAGAACTCACTTATCTACTTTATGCACTTGTTCCCCTTTTGCAACTCCCCTAATGACGTCAAAAAACAATGCTGGACATAAAAATAGACACAATGACAAAATGCAAACGACGGATAACCTTAGTTTCAAATGAAACGACGTTTATAGATTGTTACGACTCAGCAATATTCATTTATGGTGTCACCTGTTGTTTATGTCTCGTTAGCATAATGGGGACAAACATCCCCATTACTGCCTATGTACTTTGTCAGGTTGACAGCAACTCCCCATGGATACTATAGTGTTAAGTATTGGTATTGAAACTACACTGCACTGGTCTATCAGTACCTACATCGCACTAACACTCAGGTCAATTAAAACCACTATTAAGTAATTTCAAACCTATACACATAAGTAAAATTTAAGTGTCTGTTCGTAATTTCAAATTAACAGCTCATTATTAAATTGGCCTCAATGGTCTAGTGGTTTAGCACACCACTTTACGTCCGATGGTCGTGGGTTCGATTCCTCGTACGGCAGAAACATTTGTATTCATGAATATGATTGTTTGTATCGGTCTGGGTGTTTTGTAGGTATAATATGTATGCATTAACGAAAACAAAAAAAATATCAATGTATTTCTATCAGATATCTATTACCCATAACAAAACTTTTAGCTAGCTTAACTTGGGTCGAGATGCAGCAGTGTGAAATGTCCTGATATTATTATTATATTGTTATATACGATACTTACATAAAAAAATAATATTATAAATTTTTAACTGTCTGTTTGTTCTTGCTGGACAACTGAACTCTGTAACGGTTGGACGTAAAATCTCGTGGCTTCACTCACAAATACCTTATTAGGTAAAACAAATAAAACCAAAATTACTGCAGTATAACATTTATACTGTAGTACCTTTGGTTACATTTATTTTAAAAAATATGGTTTTATAAAAAAAGTAATACCCACGAAGTCGATGTCGCGGGTGACAGCGAGTATACACTATATACCTACGATATTTGAAATATTGGACTTATAACTTTTTTAAACGTGGTACAATTTCAATGATACTTCTTTTATAGAAAACGGTAAACTTCAGTAGTGATATTATACTTTTAAATGTTAACGAGATTGATTCCGCCATGGCCACTTACATAATATGTTAACTATGATAACGAGATTATCTTTAGACTGTAGTACTCTGTAAACTTATAATCTGTTGAATCTACATATCATTGCAGCGATTTGTAGGTAGAAAATATTATGACTCCAAAATTACTTTTACTACATTAAACGACTACTGGTATTCGATATAAATGGCATTTTTTAATTACATACATATATACTGCCATGGGCGTAGCCTTGGTGGGGCAGGCTCTGATCTGTAAGGTACCTAACCAAACATTAAAAAAAATATATATTTAAGTATTAAGTACGGTACGTAACAAAGTTCATACTCGACAGCAGGGATGATAGGGGGCTCCATAACCGTAACCGAAACTATCGGATGTCCGATATAAAACAATATTCGTAACCGTAACCGAATCCGAAATAAAAATTTCGGAGAATATCGGATAGGAGCGGAGCCCAATTGAGACACGTTATGTAACCATATTATTAACAACTTATTTTACTTTTGAAATTACTTAAACAATTAACATCCATAACCGAAATTATCCGGAACTAGCGGATGATCCGAAATAATATCTGTATCCGTAGATATCCGGTATAATAAATCATTGCTATATCCAAAACCTATCCGAAATTTCATATCCATAACATCCTTGCTAGACAGTAGACACAAAAAATACGTACAGATACAAGCAACTACAGGGTTATTGTTTTCATAAAAAACGGTTAGTTTTTTATGAAAACAATAATCGAGGTAAGACCGCGGGTTTAGTTTGCTAGTTACATAATATTTTACAGCTGCTGCCTCACCCTGTGCTCCTTGCTTGTTACGCCCATGCATAGGTACTGCTATAATTTCCTATTCTTGAAGAATAAAACATGTGATTGTCAAGTACAATTGAAGTTCATAAAATATATAGTTTATAAGTTTTTGTTGTAAACCCAACATTTTATTTAGGTACTGTTTAGTTAATAATACGGTAAAACTTCTGTTATCTCTTGCATTATGGATTCTATGGGAATACAAGCCTCCATCCAAATAAATGTTTTCATTAACAAAGATCCTTTCTATAGTTTACAAAGTAATATGTATTATATTTTAAATAAACTCTTTATGATGGGACACCGCTAAAAGATAGGTACCTACTTTATGCATACAGTTAATTACCGGTATATATGGGCTTAAGAGCTCATCCTATTTGGCTATACGTTACCTGAAGGAGTTAGCCAATAAACAAAAAGAGAAATATCAATTGGCTGTATTTATTATTAATAATTGTAACTATTTTGACAACCCTTTTGTATCAGAACAAACCCCAGAGTTATTGAATCAAAACGACAAGTCTGTTCTCTATTGGAGATCGGTGGCTTTTAACTTCATAAGTGAATTTCAAATGGTCTTCAATTATTAAATGAAATTATTATTATTAAATACCATTATCACAATACTTTCCTGATACTGATTTAGAAAGGGATAATCGTTACATTAAATAACTAAGTGTCAATTATAACACGACACAGATTTATTTATGATTTCATACACAAATTAAATGATCCCATGCTTACTATTTAGAGCGAAATTTTTACGTATATCGAACTCACCTTATATAACAAAACATAACATTTTATTGTCAGGTTATGTTTTAGTATGGTAATACGCATGATCCTATTTGTACAATTAAAAACAAATTAACAAAAATATATAGTAATAACAATATACCGTACCTGTTGTTATCCCATATAGTCTAGGAGTAGTGAGAAGTTTTGTCAATTATCAACTATATGCACATTTTTGCTAGGTAACTACCGTTTGAGGTTACCAGTGTGCAATACATATCTACATAATTAATAAATGAGACTTTTAATTGAAAAAACGAACACCCAGAGACTAATCCAAACCCCAATTTTATAAGATCTATGGGACTATGAATGATTAAAAGACGAATATTTTACACATCGATATAGCTCCTTTAATAGTATATTTTCTTAAAACAAAAACAAAAAATAGAATACTTAAAAAAATAACAACTCATTGTTTTTCTCACAGCAAGTTCAATAAAAGTAGGATAGGAACTAATATGGCGTTCTATCTCTGTTAAATGATGATCTTACATGGACAATTCAAATTTCCTGAGCGACATTTGAAAAAAAATGAAGTTGTAATAACACCAACATCAACAGTTGTTAGAGATTCTTTTACACCAATACCGAATGACATAGAATATAATCATTACCTCCAAATGAGGCCGAACAATTAGTTTTGAGTTAAAGATAATATAAATGCTCCTTAAATCTAAGAAAAAGTGAATATATAATAACCCTGTAATCAGAGTCTATAATCTAAACATATTTTTAAATATCATTAGACGATATTCCTAATAGGTAATAATAGAAATGAGAAAATCAGTCTGTTTATTACTTCTAAACTCCTGAATAAATTCGAATTTAGCTTATGAAATAATAATTAGATTTATAAAAATAAAAAAATCTTTCAACATTGACGTAATACGTTCATTAACACAGTACATTGCATTTTTCTATTACAAGGCTCCTAGGGTTACCTTCCAGATTTATCTTTATATAGACTGGCTACACTTTTAGTGTTATACCAGAAGTTGGATATTAACAATACCAACAATTTACCTAGTCTATCAAGAGTCTTTAAACCATTCCAAGATCAATTCCTTCAAGTTTCATTCAATTTAAATTAATAAGATTACAAATTAATAAAAAGTTATATGTGAAAACTCTAGTGAAGGAAAAGCAAAATTCAATTATAAATTTAATCCAACAAGACCAAGCTGGTTCAGAGCAACAACATATATGGACAAAATCCTACGGTAGAACGTAGAATATTGGTTCTTAGATTAAGAAGAAGTTATATAATGATTAGTCTATGAAACCTAACAATTTCGTACACCCCGGTAGCTATATTAAAAGGTGCCTACTTTTTAAAGAGTACAGTTAGTTATACATTTATTTCAAAAGTATTCAGCAATACAATGAATACCTGTGACAGAAAACATTTACTAAAATGGTTATATGTGTAATGTGTATCTATTACGTCTATATGCCATAGAACAGAAAAATATACAAAATTGTTATTATATATTTTTCTATCTGACAGCTTGCACAAAAAGTTTATTCTATATATTAGCTTGGAACAGCTACATGAGAGAACATTATTATAATTGGACATGTATGACAGACAACACCTAAGAACAATGCTCTAGTTACTGGTTATTGGACAGGACTCACAATGATAATCGTGTATTACATAGTGAATAATCATTTATGGTTTATGAAATGATAAAATAAAAGTAAATACAAAATTAACAAACAAACTATAAAATAAAGGCATATTTTATACCCTATTACAATATACCTCTTAACTTTTGTTGAACAATATAACAATATCACATATATTATCGACATCGACTTTGAATAAATTTCAATGAATAAATTGCGTCAATACAATCTCGTCCTTTTTAAGGAATATGACCGTCTATAACTTTTAATTGAAATATACTCGTAACACTCGACAATTGTCTAGTTTTATATTTTCTTTTTATATTAAATAATATCATAAGTAATAAACAAAATTAGGCTTAAATAACATTGCCACATAGTATGTTATAATGAGTAGAGTGGAGTTTTTGAGATGGTACGTAAAAACCCTCAAAGGGTTTATTTAACATTGAGAATTTAAGCTGTTCTCAGTATGATATGATATCCAGAGCTTGTTTCAACTGGTTGGCTCAATTGGCCAATCCTCAGCGTGAAGGCTATATCCTCGAAAGCCTTCTGCATGCGGCCTCTCTTGAAGCGTCCAAGATCTCCATGGCGTCTAGCAGACGAGCAATCAGAATAGCTTACGGCCAAATCTTTAAGAGAAATCTCCTTCCTTATAATTCTTTGGCGGTATTCTGTAAGTAAACCATAAACCAAATATTTAATATAATTAATACATAAACAAAATTGTGTCATATAGAAACTATGATTTTTGCGGTAAATTTAACATTAACTTATTTATTATACCAATAAAAAAAATATCTATCAAAATGGAACTCAAAAGTTAGTCATTATGCTGGGAATGCTCTCAACAACAGACTATACAACTTGATTATTATTATTATTCTTAATTTCTAAAAGAAACAATATTGTAAGTTTAGCATTCATCAAGTTTAAAAATTTGTGAAATGACAACTAGGCTATGTTTAAATATTTAGAAACATATTGTATTATTGCACAAAATTTCATTTCTGCAACTTTCTGAGTATTAAACTGAAACGTATGTAAAGTATGTAAACTTTAAAATTATGGCTGAGTTCACTGAATTAAATAAATAAGTACCAATAAAATTCAAGTATGTAGTTAAGACTACATAGATTGTCTATAGACTAATTAAATAGTATTGTTTATAATTTCCTAGCAATGAGATTTTAATGAGTTTTATGATAATGATAATGAATCATGTCTACTATACCATAACCTAATGATAGATATTTGTAAAAGTTACTCTCGAGTAACAGTTTTAAAAGTAAAATTTTTGAAGCTTTATTTTATTAAAAAATGTATTTAGAGTCTTAGTAGTAAATCTCTTGAGACTAGACGGTGCTGTATCAATCATACAGCATACATGGCTATTTATTTGCATCAATTTTACACAAAAAGTAAATTCAACCAAAGACATAACTAGCCTGTTATCCATGATATCTATTTTATACAATTTGTAGATTACATATATAAGCATAATGGAATATATATAATGGACATATATAAGAATAATAATAATAATCTCAGGACAATTCACACAGCGCCATCTAGACCCAAGTTAAGCTAGTTAAAGCTTGAGTTATAGGTACTAGATAACTTATACATATACATAGATATTTTTTTTGTAATTATATACATATTATACATAGAAAACACCCAGACCGATACATACAATTATACTCATGAATACAAATTGTTTGTGCCGTGCGAGGAATCGAACCCGCGACCATCGGTCGTAAAGCGGTGTGCTAGACCGCTAGACCACCGAGGTCGTCAAATAACAATATAGAAATCCTAACCTAAATTAAAATAATGTATACCTTTTATCAAAGATAAAGCTTCAAGCTTTGAACGCGTAATTGTAGCTTGACGCCAAGAAGATGGACGGCGACTCTTTACGTGCTTAACCAGCAAGTGTGAGCAACGCAAAGCATCTGTAGCGTCATCGTCATCATCATTGAGGCCCGCTGGCGCATCTGGTTTTTCCCACTGAGATCGTCTGGTATGCTTATTTAAATAATATGTCATTCCTAAAAATAAAGAAAATAACTACAAATAGAGAGAATAACTAAAAATAAAAAGAATAAATCACAGACTTAATTTATTTATTTATTTGTATTTTTTATATGCTATTATTGTAACAGACTACAAAGCAATCCGCAAGCCCCTTAGCATCTAAATTATATAAAAGACTAATTAATACATATAATTTTTTCTCATGTTCATGTTTCTATGGAATAGTAGACAATATTCAACCATACCACCAGTGTTTCTCAAACTTTTTTGCCTAGCCTTTCTAAAATACTTATGCTCCTCCCTATATAATATAATTAATTGTTCACTTAACCTAAATTATAGGTTTTAGGACGACATCATAATTTTTTTCAAAACAGTAAAGTAAACATATAATGAAATACTGAAATTCAAATTATAAATAATTTTAATAAAGATTTTTCTAAAACTAAATCATCAACCGAAATTATACCTAATAATTATTTAAGAATTAGCTTTTTTAGTTAAATATGAAACCTGGCATTGCATTTAAAAGACCTAGAGTGAGAAGGTTAAAATCGTGTCAAGTCCATTATGAAATTGCTGCCATTTCTAGTTTAAATCTAAGTCTGTTCAAGTCTTTCCATTGTGTTTATTTCATTATAACAAGGTAAGTTATGTCAATTAATTAATACTTCCATACAACTGTTTATATAACTTGCGACAATATTGTTATTACACACAAATTACGTAATGAAGTTATAATTTGAAAATAAGAAATGCTTGATATTAAAAAAGTTATTTCACTTTCTCATTCCTGTTCTTTCTTTTATTGTTTTTACTTCATCTATCTGGATCAACCAATTAGCTTTTATCAAATTTGATAGCTTTCCTTATCCATATAGAAAAGCAAAAAAAAAGACGAAGTCCACCATAAGTCTTTAATGGCATATGATTTATTTTTAATGCTCCCCTAAAGTGGGTATTAAAAAGGCTCCTGCTGAAAATTATTAGAAAAATACAAAGACTTCACTTTAAATCCAATATAGTTGGACTTTTACATAGTAAATTATTTTTATTTTTATTGGATTGTTTGGGCTATTGTGAAGTGCTTGGACCTGTGTCACTGCAACTTACTTTTTTTTTCTTGGAGTACAATTGCGATCAGTCCCAACCCAACGAGCATGTGAATCTGTTCTGTGATGCTGTCATGTAGAGAGTGTTCCCATTAGAAACTACCACTTATCTGCATCCTAGAGCTACTGCCGATTTTCTAGTTCCGGGATATGATGGTGTTTTGTTGTCTCACATGCTGTTCCATAGTGAGTCGTCGAGAGAGTTTGTTAGGGTGATGGATCAACCGTCTCTTATATTTGGCTGTCAAACTCTGAATTTCCTCCTTCACTGTTTTTATTTCAAGGTTGCCATGGACTGCAGTATTGGTAATGTAACATGGTACTTGTGCAATGGTTTTTAAGATCTTGTTTTATTGGCATTGCAGTGTATGTTGAAATCACTTTCTCTGCCCCCATAGTTCCATACATCCTAATAGGTTTCAGGATGAGGAGCTTGTTGTCCATGATCAGACAGTGCTTATTTTCCATTTTTGGAGTCATTAATTTACCTTTTTGAGGCCTTTCTGAATGGTCTCCAATACCAGTCTGGAATCTTTATTGCTTGCCAGTATGGCGGTATAGTCTGCAAATGTAGCTGTGATTGTCCCAGGTGTAACTGGTAGATCAGCAGTCTACAAAGTGTAGAGCATTCGGCCAAGAACAGATTCCAGAAGTACCCTAGCATAAAGTTCTTTAAAATTAGAAGTGGCATCACTTTCTTTCATATAAAATATTTAACCTTCTTGATAAGATTTGAATAATAAGAAGTATGAGTGATACTCTGCTTGATCTTACATAGCAGGCCTTTGTGCCACATCTTGTTAAACACCTGCAGCCTACAAAGATCTATTGTACTTGCCCTTTTTTAGAGTTCGCTACCTAGACCCATCAGGGTCAAGAATTGAAGGATATTTATAGGAGTGATGGTTATTATATCTGCAGGATAGAGCATAAATTTTCCAAAGGAGATATTATTTTCATGCATGAGTGGGCTACAACACATAGGATGTGTAGTGAAGTTTCCTCTTCAGTTTGCCAACATCTGCAGATTTTTGTTGTGAATGTGATGGTGGACTAAGTCTTGCATGTAAAATTGGTGAAGTCAATACATTTCTATATACATTGTAGGACCAAGGGAAAGCCTATTTCTTTTTGTTATTTAATGTCATTTTATTAATATTTTATGAGATATTAATTCTCAGAGTTTTGTAAGTAGGGGTGGATGGATTAATCTAATCATGGATGGTAAATGAATTATTACATATATATAAGAATTATTAAATATTATATATATGTAATAATATACCTATTAAAATAATAGTATTTGAAAACTATGTAATTATAATAATATAGGCGAGCTACAGTTCGGTCTAAAAGACAGAGTTAATGCGCAGGTACCTACATGTGCAATCCCTTTGTGTGCAAAGGTATTGATTTTACTTGACCTAATTCTGCACTATTCAATCAATACTCAATATAATATGTTTTTTAACATGATTTAAAAACAATTACAGTATTGTTCGAGCGTTTTGTTACTAAAGTTTCACAAAACGTATATTTATGCAAATCGCTTACCTGTGCTTCTACTTGTTCGTTCCTCCCATCCTTCAGGTAGACTCTCTTCGTGACTAGAAGCTGCTGCCATTATATCTTTTAACACAAACGATAGTTTAATAATATTATTTAAAAATATATTATTGACCAAATAGATAAGCACTTCTTAAAAATCCACGACAGAAAGAACAGATTATACAAAAGCCCGGCAGCGGCGAATAGAACGAATGTCAAAACCCCAGATGAAGCTCAGCTCACTAGACACAGATAAATACTATAGACAAGCAGAAATTTCACTATAATACAACAGTGCCATCTGAAGTGGGCTGTCTTAAATTTGGTCCTTATAAATGCAATTTGAAATAAAATGTTCATTAGATACATTAGGATTTTCTTGCAAAGACTGGATTTATGTACAACTTGTATCCATATCTCAATATTTTCGTATATCTATACTGTCTATTTATAAGATGTAAGATTTCCGTATATCATTTAGTATAGTAAATACATAGTTTAATTCGGGCAAATCATAGCTTAAAAACGATTCTGATGAAAACTACTATTTATCTAAAAAAATCAAGCCTGTTTTGCTATTCCTGGGTAAGGCGGCGGTCATAGAAGTGTCATGAGAAACTCCTTTATCACCTGACTAAAGGAAACCGCATTTCGTATTATTTTATATAGGTATGATTATATAAATATTATTTTATTAACATTCAACTTTTAGTAAGCAATTATATATACAATTTAATTACTTGGCAAATAATAAAGTAGGTACCAAGTTGTTTAAATTCACACTCTTTTTTAGCATGATATAAAATTAGACGAAATAAATCGTTATATTTTAGAAAATATTTAGTTATCTAGGAATTACTGGTGAGTTTTTATTTTATTTACATATTAAGTGAATAACACTATTATATCTGAATAAATTACCTTATATGCCTATATATAAATATTGGAAGATGAAATATTTTTCTACTGCTTTATATACAGGCTCTACAGGTTAAATAGTGTTTCTGATTCAAAAGTGTGAAATGTTGTTTTCTTATTACACTATTTTAAATACGATTATCTAAATATATTATAATATATATATATATATATATATATATATCAATTTTATGAAATTCACTTAAAATAACATAAAAAAAAAGTTACGTAGTTCCTCTATTTATTGATTTTTAGTAGATTTTGTTACGAAATGTTTCTAGCAGTGTGACAACACAGTAGGGTTGCCAACCTTAAAATATTTAGACGCACATTAGGAAATAGAATGTTCAATAATCTCGTACCTTGATTCACATTATATCTCTCTAACCTCGTACTTAGTACTATAATTGATTTTAATAGGCCAAAATATCGTAAAATCTTGTATGAGGACGAAAATGTCATCTTACCAAAGTCAAAAATCTCCTTTTTTTACTTGGTTTCTCGTACGGTTGGCATTCCTGTAACACATAGCCACCCACAGCCACCCACAAATTAAGTAGACGACACTACCGCCACCTTTCCCATTTTTCTCTCGAGACTCCATGACCGAATGGACGGATAAATCTTATATAAAATTTTCTTTCGCTTTAATATAGCAAAATTCTTAGTTTTTAGTATTTTTCGTTATGTGTGAAGTATAGTTAATGTTTAATATATAGTGAGTTCAATAAAAAAGACTTTTGCACTGGTGCGCATCATATCATATAACGTGTAGGGCGTACATCTTTTTGTGTAAAAATGATTGAATTCACGATAAAGACTTTAGATTCTAATAATCACCATTTTTCCGTCGAGGATGATGTGAGTATACCTACTTAGTTAATTTGTTTCATCATATTAGCGGTGGTCATCAAATATTTTGATTTGATAAATGTAATGGAGTTAAAGTGCGCACTGAAACAATGAATAACGCTTGCGTGCAATCGACCGATCATTTATTTTTAATCCCCTTGATGTAATATAGCTATACTACGTGCATTATATTGCACTCTCCTTTCAAAATTCGCAAATTAATTACTTTTCTTCTGTTAAATGATATCCTAATTAACGAGTTGAATTACTTATTAATACATTTGAAATTGTTAGTCTCATTTGTACATTTTAGCATCTCTTTCACTCATCAGCATTCGATGCAATGCTAGAACTATCTACTGATAGTTATAGATATTTGCATAGCTGACATAATCAATATTGAACAGAGGGTCAGGGGGTGGGGCACATTGCATTGATTGGTGTAATTTCCTTTGTACTGCATTTGACTTCCTTTGAGTCTTGCAGCTCAATTGCAGGGGTCTCTGGAGAATACATATATAGGTATTCTATGTAATATAACTAAAGAAGAAAATGGATTGTGTTTCACATACACACATCTTTGTAGTGAAACTATTTTCATGAGTAGCTATGAAATATATGGCTAATAGTGAAAATGGTTCCATTAATAAGTATGATGAATTATTAGGTGATTTTTATGGAAAAACTGATTATTACCAACAAATTATATCTTAATTGTCTCTATGTAAATAAGTACATTTCCTAATAGCTTGCATCTATACTTTTGAAATTTCACATAAAAGTACTTAGCAGTTTTTCTATTTAATATCACAACCAAAGCCATAGCTTGGTTCTTTAACATGTATTTGTAACCAATGTCATCTTCTCTAACATGTTTGCTATATGGATCATTGGGGGTCCCTAATATATGATTGAATGTACATTAAACACACATGTGAACACATATTATTCTACTGGGACTAATTTTAATATAAATGAAGTGTTATGCTATGTTTATTTTTATAAAATTATGAATGTAGTACAAAATAAAAATAAATAGATTTCCTAATAGATAATATGTGATAAATAGAGTTTTTAAGACAGTTTTATCAGTATACATTTATATGTCAGTGGAATATTATTATTTTGCATTGTAAATAACATGTTTGTCTACCACTGCTACATAAATCTAAATTATTCATACCATTGTTAAATTATGCATTAAGCTAAACTTATTCATTATATATCTGTGTGTGTTCACTTTGTACAATGTAAGAGATTTTATTGTACATGCATATGACTAAATAGTCGGAAATGAAATTTGAAGTAAAAACAAATTTAGAAATAAAGTTGTTTACAACAAAAAAAAGTAATGGACAGATTGACGTCTCTGGTTTAATAGTATTTCCGTAAATGGTTACATAATTGTCCTGCTCTCTTTGACTTCAATGGTGAATGAAGGTGAAGTATCCACTACCACTTCTTTCTCCACCTACAATATTTTCATTTTTATTTTGTCTTCATCTGCAATAGATTTTAATTCCATAGTTTTTTTTTCACATGGTAACGAACACAGCAAAGCTTTTCTTCATTCTCATCCTTTGATATGGTTTTAATTTTTGAATATTGTTCTTTTGAGGATTATGTTTAATATTTTCCTGAGTCATTAGGACTTTCTACCCATTTTCATTCTACTAGACCTTATTTTCCAATTATCAGTTTTTCCTTTCTGTGTACAAGTATTGCTATTAAGCCATTTAAATTACCCATGACAGTAGTATTTTTATCTTAACACCTGAGCCCTTCTGTAGTTACATATTGAAGTTTTACATCATTGCTATTCCTGTCACCATTGTATTCAGTAATTGTGGTGCCACTCATCTCTTTTAACTTAAACAAAGGATATGTCCTATTTATTGTGCCTAGTTTTAGAATTCTCATTTATTCTCATTGTGTTCATAATTTTTTCATTCATAATATGTTTAATGTTACTACTATACACAGATATATATGTTTTATTTTATCTTTAAGTACTTTTTGATTTTGTTGGTGGAGTTGTACCAGTAATGGTTGTTGTTCTTATTGAAGCACTATAGATTTACTGTCTTTTTTCACCATCATAATTACACTTTGGGAATAAGGTTTATTGTTTTTGTTATTCTGTAGTCTGCCAGGACTTGCTGTGCATTATTGGTTTTGGTTGCTAGTCTCAATAGTTGTTACTTGTAGTACTTGGTGGATTCAGGTATTTGAAGGCATTCATTTTCTTTAGAATTTCTTGTCTTCTTTTGTTTACATTATTTACATGTGCTGGTGTTTTAGATTTGGATAGTTTGTTTTCTTTACTCATATATATATGTTTTACTTCGTCTTTAGTTACTTTTATTGTACCAGTTGTAGTTGTTCTTATTGAAACACTGGAGGATTACTGTCTTTTTTTCTCCATGGTAAATAAACTTGGGGAATGAAGTTAGTTTTTTGTTTTTTTTGTTTCTATATTATGTGTGTGCAAAAGTCACATAATATGTGACTTTTGCTTTCTTAGTCTGCCAGGATTTGCTGTATGTTAATTGTTTTGGTTACTAGTTCCAATAGCAGTTCCTTGTAGTAGTTGCCTGATTCATGAATTTGAAGGCATTAATTTTGTTTAGTGTTTCTTGTCTTCTTTTATGTATATGATTTACAAATGCTGATGTTTTGGATTTGGATAGTTTGTCTTCTTTACTCGTATATATATGTTTTATTTGATCTTTAGGTACTTTTTGATTTAGTATATGCAGTTATACTAGTATTAGTAGTTTTATTATTTTTGTTGATTGTATATACACATTCTGCTTTCTTTGTCTGCCAGGAATTGCTGTGCGTTAGTTGTTTCGGTTGCTAGTTCCAATAGCAGTTACTTGTAGTACTTTACTGATTCATGAATTTTGAAGGCATTCATTCTGTTTAGAGTTTCTTGTCTTCTTTTGTTTATATGATAAAGATGTGTTGGTGTTTTAGATTTGGATAGTTTTCTTTTTATGTTTCATTTATTAGACTTTGCTCTTCCTTCAACAAATAATTTGTGTCATATTGTTTAATACAAGATCCTATTCTTTCTTCTTTCTTTATTTCTATTCTGTATTTCTTTGTGATGTTTTTTATTTCTGTACTGATTTTTAGAATGAATTTATAAATATCTTTAAAGGTACTTATCCTGAAATCACAAATATTTTTAAAAAGTTACTAAATATGAGCATAATTTTATAGAATTATATGAAGATAATTTATTAATAATTATATTCATTAATAATTTATTATTTTGGTGGGGTAACCTTTTTAAGTTTAGGGCAAATTCACTTCCGACTATAGTTTTTATTTAGTAAACTTAAACAAATATTATAGAATTTGAATTTTAGTATAATGTTATTTTATCAAGTTTTGATTAATAGAATTAAATATCACAAAGGTAAGCAAATTATATTAGAAATGTGTGTAACCATTTATTAATGCAAAGGTGTATCTGTCTGCCTTATTGTTATCTTTCATGACTATGGCTGCTGGTATCTAAAAATGTACTATGGCTATCTTTTTATTAAGATATTTATTGTCTTCCTAAAATTAAAAAAAAGACATTTGCTAAATTACCAGCTTATTCCATTTATTATCCAATTATAGGTAGTGTAATTAGTTTAAATATTAATATTAGTAGTAATACTAATATATGATTTGTTTTAATTGAAACTAACATACAACATTGGTTAAGCTGCAGGATATGGTTCTTATTCATCCAAATATTCATGGCTTCTCCAGCAAATAATTAGAATTAAGTGTTTTCTTAGAATCTCATATTATACAATATGAGATTCTAAGAAAATAGGGTGTTATGTCTGACAGGACATCAGCTTAATAAGTATATATTAATTTATCCTTTTGCACATTATAATATTCCTAATTTAGTTGCTAGTAACAATGCTATTAACTTACTTACTTAGAATTAGATACATTTACAATAATTTGCATATATTGACCGCTATTTGTTTGATTTTTTTGAACTGGCTATGGTGGGAGGGGAGTATTGAGATGAGTTGAATGAAAGAATAAAGCATTATTTGTATGTGGCGATTTAAATGTTGATTAAATGTCATGTTGTTTAAATAAACTAAGACTGGTGAGTGGTGGTGTTAATTATTTGACTAATATATATTTTTCTAGAATTGCCAGTAATTTCGCCACTTGTATAGGTAATGTTTTTTGTAATTGTGAAGTAAAGAAAATGAATTTCATTATTTTTCCTCTGAAGGGATAAAATGGATGTTAAGGTTTCAGCCGTAGCTAGAACTACTCTGGGTTTACACCTTCATTATTCATGATGAAAACAGTGTTACCAAGTCTGCAAATCTACATGTAACAGTGATATAACTCTTAGTCTATTGTTAAGATTAGACGAGGCAGCGCGTGACGGCCTTCTTCAGTACCATAAACCGAACTGCACGGATGGTTTGTTTCAAGCTATGGAGGAAGCCTACTCTCTGCCGTGAAAGGGAGGACAGGGGGCGTTTTTAAGTTTATTGTGTGGGGATGTTTTCTCCTTGGATGTGATATCATACAGAAATACATAATGTCAAAACGCGTGAACTTGCTTAATTTCGATGCGTCGATTGGCCAAGGGCGTCGGGCATAATATTAGGTTTTGGATATTTTTATTCTCATTAAGAATCAGAAATCAATTTAAGCATTTATGCCCTTTTGTAACACACATGTTCCATGCACGAAAAGCTTACTGAAGATGGTCTTCGTGCGGTACCTCGTGTTGTTGTTAACCCTATACAACAGAACTGTCAGGTGTAGGATTTTAACCAATGTCAGACGTGGAAACACTGTCTTGAATCTAATTTAAACAAATTTACCGTCTTTACTCTAATTAGTTTAGAAAATAAAATGTTTTTTAAACAAAATACATAAAAACATATCGTTATACGATGTTAAAGACGACGCTAAATGTCATTAAATATTATTTATCAGATAGAAAACATAACTTAAAGTAAACAGCACTACGTCTTACGACTCTCTGGTACGAATGTGTACCTCATTATTATTATTGTTTCTAGATTAAGGATCTCTCTCATCCCATACAGGATACATGCAGCATAGTATTGTACGCAGATTATATTTAATTGATTTTTAAAGTTACAAAATTATTAATAATTAATATTCTATAAATATCAATTTGAATGTGATGTGAATGTTAAAAGTAGAAAATCAACCATTTACAGAGTTTACTGTCTTTCTTAGATTCACACTACATTATGAAACTCACTCGAGTTACTCAAATTCAGAGCCTTGCAGCAAGACTGCGTCGATCTATTCACTGTCTATTGTCTTATGCAATATTATTATGGGGAAAACCAGCAGATATTATGTATGTATCTCTATAACAAAATCTTTCCGATCGTGTGATTTACTGTATATTTATTAAAAGAGAAATTCACCATTGCTTCGCAATATAGATATACCAGATATTGAAATTTTCTAAACGCAGACAGGCATTTTCTCGTCTTAAAACAATACTGAGCAAATCCTATTCACTAAACGATTACTTAAATATCAAACATCCATGGGAATAGTTGTTCATGCACGGGATTATCATTTAATCAGTACTAACCTAACTAAATAAACAATGACTAAAAAAATAGAAAATTGCGTTAAGTTTGTCAGTTCTTCTCAATCGAATCTAGAGACTAAACGGATGATAGGGAAAAATGTGAACACTAAAATGACTATAAAATGAAATATGTGATTTCTGGAAATGAATATGACTAAATTAAAAAAAAAAACAGTGTAAGTTGCGAGTAACAGCACACAAACTTTATGGTGATGTGATATGACATTAAAAAAAATATACCCTACTCCAAGTATGCTTTTTTCATTTATTAAGTTTTATAAACAGGTTCAATGATATTCTACATTATTATAAGGAATTTTACAGTATCATTATAATATAAAAACACAATGTAAAGTGTAGGTAAAGGTATAAAAAGAAGTTTTTCATAGTTTATAATTTTATTTATCATTAAGAGTTATTTTGACTTACATATCTACAAGTTTAAATCATGCCCATAAAATATTATACATATCTTACTTATACTATTCCATAGATAGTAATCGGCGTGTGAGACTTTTTCTCGCCTATATAAAATGCCAAGCAGCTTGTAGGTTGTGTTTTGGTTGGAGCGTGCGAAGTGGCAGTGAAATCACAGGACATGGACACATGGACTCATATTTTAGTCCTCCAGAATTGCAACCCATTCCGGGAATCGCGGATATCACATAATGACTTGATGTTTACAATGCTGTGTATATGTATATACCACAGGCGATGGTTACCACTTACCATCAAATCGGTGATCAGATTGTTAGCTATTCCACCTACAAAAATAATAAGCTGACAGTCCAACAAAGTGATTACCATTATATAAGATGGACAGCTTTATTGGCATTCAAGAATATGCAGCAATATTTATGGTATGGTAGCTTTTCTTCTTGTCTCATTGATTGTAATGAGAAGACGTCTAAATACGTAATAATTATAAATAATGCAGCAGCAGAGTAATTAAAGTAAAAGTACCTTGAATGTGGTCATAACTGTGACTATCGTAAAAAAAAAACTAAAAATACAACATTGTTTAGTAGACCATCTTTATATTTCAAATTTTACAGATATAAATATATGATTGTTAAAACACAGTATTGAAGTTTTATTTAATAGGTGATAATAGAATGATACACCCGTTTGCCCTAACGGTTAATGCTGGTAGTCACCAAAGAAAGATGAGCATAAATGAAGTAAGGTCAGTTCGCCATCGTGGCGAATTCGCTATGTAATTAATTACAATGATTTCCAGGGTTACCGTTGATCATACATAGTACATTGCTAGCAGTGGGGAGATTAGTATTTCCCTCCCTTCTATTGGCATTTATTGTCTACTGGTCTAACTTTTCAAATTTTGTCTTAGATCACAGTGCAGGCGCTTAAAGAAAAAGTTAGAGATCAGATAGGACTAGATATTAACTTGCAGCGTTTAATATTTTGTGGGAGAGTTTTACTGGACGAGAAACTACTTTCCGAATATGGTGTGTATAATTTAATTTAATATATCTTTGATACTTTCTATTTTTCGAGCATTGCTTTCATGATGCTTGTAGGTGTTTTATATATAAAAGTAAATTAACAATGATATTTAAGGACTTTACCTACCTTTTTACCTAAGACTAGAACTGCATTATTCACTGATGTCAGATCTGAGGGACTTTGTGAAAGGTAACATGGAAATATGGGAGAAGTTTTGGGCACGTTCATGTAGATCTAAAAAGTAATAAACAGGATACAAGTCTTCGTAGAAACGTATTAGAAATGTGAAACAGGCTAAAAAATTTACCCATCGGAGTGAACTAAAAAATACAATGTTATAAATTAAATTAGAAGCGACAAAAAATTTGGTAGTAGGGATACAGATATTCTTATTGGTGGGATTTTGGATAAAATATAGCGAATACAGGATAGTCTCTGACAACACTGGTATTATTATATATGTAATGATATTAATATTGTTTTGTTTAGAATATAGAATACAATTTTTTTTTCATGTAATAGACGTTAACGGGAAGGTCGTCCATTTGGTGCAGCGAGCCCCGCCATGTCCAGAATCTCGGAATACATCTACGAATAGCGGATCCGGATCAAGCACACCACTTCCAGGCTTGACCGCGGAACCGAGTCCCGGTACACGACACGAAATTAGGCGGCTCATGGTGGGAAGTATATATTATGATATGTATGCGCTATATTTTTTTATTCAGAATATCTGAAACAGGACGAGGAAGATTTTCTAGAAACGTTGATAAGTGGGACAACGGTTGTAATTATGGTGTAATCAAGTCACGATACTGCATTGTCAGTAATTAATTTGAATTGGATATGCGCTACAATGTTGCATACCATTGTTTTGTTATAATAAAACAGTATAAATACGTGAAACGTGTAATAAATACTTAACTATTATTAACAACTTTGTGTATATTCAATAGGCGTTAAATACACCATCAGAATATGACGCGGAGCAGGAACAAGCTTTGACTCTTTCGCCAACCACCGGCCGTCTAGAGATCATTCGTCGTACAATAGGAGAAATAAAGGTCGCACTTGATTGTCTGCGAGCTCAATCCGATGACGAGGTATAATAGAGTCATTTATCATGCATTCAGTTTGCGTTTACATTCAATTTTATATTTATATCGTTCTTTAGTTGTTAAATTGTTCATCTTATACGTCTTATGTGAAATATGTCAATTCATAAAGAATTATAATGAAATATTTGTAGAAATAACATACGTACGCAATGGTACGACTGTTATCTCAGATGGGGTAGTCAGAGACACTGTCAGCCCGAGATTGTAGTGAAACCAACAATTGAGATGCCAATTTAGCTGGTTATATTTTAATCCAGACTCGACTCTGAGTTTCATTTTTGTTTGATATCCGCGTTTCCTTCAGTAAAAAGTCAGTAGGTATTTTAAATTGACACAAAGTTAGGGTATTGAAACCGCTTTTGCTAGTAGAAATATCTCTCACTACCGCAGTTTTGATTTACAAATTTCTGTAAATAACTTTTGATTTGATAACAGGATTCCGAAGAAAATGATTCTCAAGATGGCACCAGACGAGTTCGTCGTAGGTGAGTTTACGATTTACTATTTTTTGTTAAATGATTTTAATACTTCAAAACTTAGATCTTTCTTTATCTTGTTTAATCTTTTACAACTAAACTTAGATAATTATTCAAAAATATTTTTGTTATGTATTACACATGTCTAGTCGTAACAAAGAAAGCTAATGTACCACCGTCTCACTTACGATGGTTGCAGGTTCGACTCCTCGCACTGTACAAACATTCATGACTGTTTAATACAAACAGTGTCTGTATTCTCTAGGTATATATAAAAAAAATAATGTATTTAAGTATTTCTATTAGTTGTCTAGTACCCATAACACAAGCTCTGTTTAGCTTAAGACTAGACGGTGTGTGTATTGTCCAGTGTTATTATTATTATTGTATATTATTAAATAAATTAAGTATTTTATTTCTTAAAAGATAAATAAACCAACACATATTTTCAAGAAGTGAATTAACTAATTTTTAAAATCATACAATTATAACGTTTCCACTTTGTTTCTTGATGAAAGTTCAATTTCTTAAGTATACCTTCTACAAATAAACCTGTATTTTTGCATTGTAATCGGGTACTATTTATGGCACAAATAAGTTTCTGCCGTTTTACATGAAAATTCTAGATTTATATTGAAAGTATTGTATATTATTTTTAGTTACATCTATTTTTGTTCAACGTTATTACCAGCATTTGAATATCCCGTTGGAAGAATAAAATTTTCATTATTTGGGTCGAAAGATTCAGTAGTGTATTCAATTTGCATGACACCGAGATCCCATCAAATACTCTTTAATCTTTTTCCATTGTTAGTTGCTTTGCAGCCTGTGGGAACATGAACAAATGGTGTTTGTGATTTTATCGTATCGTCTTTGTGTTATCACAGTGCTTCTGTGTAATATCACAAGTAGTTTGTAGTCACCACAAAAGATAAAAAACCTTTTCTTAAATCAGCGTACAACGCCTCTAATTTTTAGTTCATACACCAACACCACCAACGTCTAATGCCTCTAATTACGTTTTTTAACAGTTTATAATAGAAATACAAGTTCACCTTTCTCCAATTATATGTCCAATTCCATGTTTCTTACATTCCGGGTACCCCTGCTGCACTGCACTCTTGCTCCTAAACGTCCATCAAGCCGCCTTTAAACGTTAGAAACAACTCATGGCAATATTTTTCACTTATTATAAGTTTTACCATATGCTTCTTCTAGTCACAGATGCGCTGCCTGAAATGTAGATATATTTAAATTAAAAAATAAATTAAATATTCCTACAAATGATGCTTTGGTCCATTAATCCACATTTTTACATGAAAATAATAAAATTGATCCTTTTTACAGACTCACAAATATTTTAACGGTATTTGGTTATTAAACGACCACACTTTGATATTACGTTTTACCTCTTCTAATTACGATATAACGTTCTGATAGGTAAACGGCAGAAACTTATGGACATTTATTGGTATTATCATTTTTCAAATATAAGAAATTACAGGACCATAAGGGCGCTACGCACGCGACATGCCCGCCCTCGCGACCTCGCTAATCTCATGGAAGAATTAGACCGACTTCATGCTGAATTCAATCCATATCGAACTACTTACTTGGACATGCTGAAAGCTGCTAGTGAACCTGAGGTAAAATAATACTAAATAATATTCGTTGTAGGTACCTTAAACTGAATGTAGAGTTATAAGAATAGGTTTTGAAATTGGATTTAATAAACTGGAACTAAAACAATAAACATACACTTAATGTTTAGAAATCAATGTATGTACGAATGATCGTAGAGAGGACAATATAAAACAATGTAATTCAGTCACCCACGTCCATATCGCAGCTGCACATATTATTTGCTACGATTTTAATTTAACTAGATGAGAAGGGGAGCGCTCATGCCCCGACCTCATTCTGATAATAGACGTCGCCTCGCGTTTGTTTAAACTAATATGAAAACAAGGCTTGGATTGAATATTATGTTGAATTATACTCGTATATTATGGTAGGTTAAATTTCGCCAGTATTGGCACATTTGAATTCTATGCGTCACGGAGAAATGAACCGGGAATAATATTAAATTCATGACTACAATTTACATAGGGAGCAAAGTCTTTAAGAATGGAATTTAAATTAATATATAGTTATATAAAATTGGGAGATATGCAGTCAAAACCTTGAAGAATCTGAATAATATGTTACTATTTGCATTTACATTTATACACTCACTGTGCTGAATAAATGAGATATCTTTAATTTACCTTTATATTAAATACTATTCAATAATGTGTTTTTTCTTGTGCTATAGATCGTATCTTTTCTAGGCAATTTAAATGGGCTATTAATTTAGTAAAAGTAGGATTTCATAAAATAAAAGGCAAAGTTAAGCGTACTTTATGTACGTATGATATATTAGTACGAGTATGTTATTCGTAACGTGGCTATTAATACAATGATTAATTTTGAATCATGTAGCCGGTAAGTAACAAGTCCTATTCATGAAACAATTGTTTGTTTTATATTTATAGCCACCGGAATACAACGAACAGGAGAGGGCCAGCTCTCAGCGCACTGTGGATTTAGTCACAGACTTAATGCACGGTTTCGCTCACGCTTATCATGCCATTAGCGATCTCTCTTTGCAAGTTGGAAGTTCGCGTCTTACAGCTGACAATGCATTGCGCCCTCAAGTGCAGCCTGTGGTAATTACAAGTTACATTATTTTACAGTTGCATTATACCAGGCGACTTTAGTTATCTCTTGAAGGAATGAAAATTTTCTTTTCCCTTTTGCGGTTATACGACATAATTAATTATATTAAAAATACAATTTACCTAAGCGAAAACAAATGTCGAAAATGTACATACTTAATTTTTATTAAGATGTACCGTTTTTATTTTTTCAAATTCTATTGGGATTTTGTATATGTGGCCCTGACAAATTCATCGTATCTATACAAAAAAACTTAATATCGCTCTACCAATATTCCATGGCATACACCTATGTCTAAACTATTGGTAATGATAGATGCGTTACATCGCATCAAAATTTGATGCAGCTCTTTCCCACAAGGTTCACAATTGGAAGATGTAACTTTTATCATTAAATGACCAAATTTATTCAATGGACTGTGTCCTGAACGCAATCTTTTCGCAATAACAATATTCTGTTTATTTATCTTTGAAGTGCTGACCAGGAATATGAAGAGATTGACATTGTGTCGTTTTATATCATATGCCCGTTGACTTGGAATGTACGTATACAGTGGCCAAAATATTATTGTATTTTAAGGGTGAAACGAATATGTTCTCTACACATAGAGCTTCTACTCCATATTACGTCTGTCGAATTTTAACAGAAATCGTCCAGTACAATTCACTCTGATTAAATTTTGCTAAAAAAAATTAATAATTTATTAAAAATAACGAATTATTCAGTAATATTGTGAAAAATAATATTATTTACGTAATAGGCACAGATAAATCTACAGGCTGGGTCTCGCCAGCAGGGAGCCACAGCGAACAGCACAGCTACCAGTGGTAGTGGTGAAGGAAATGGGGGGCCCACTCCCACAACTCAGTCGTCTACCAACGCTGCACCATCAGCTGAAGCTAATACCGACGGGCAGGCGGCTCAAGCTAGTCAGCCTTCCGCACAAGCTGGTAGGAATACTACCCAACCGACTGTCAATATAAACATACAACCAGACCTCACATACCAAGTAGAGATAGAGACCAGTGTGCCCATAGCATTCCCTATTGAGAATGCCCTCTTTAATGGGTTGACAAATATGGCTCCGAATAACCAACAACAGCCAGAACAAAATCAAACTCAACAGGGCCAACCCCAGAATCAAGGCCAGCTAAACCAGGCCAACCGTCGTCAAGTATTTTTTGGTAAGATCTTTCATAATTCAGGCGGTGGATTCATATGTTGTGGATCAAACTGCATCAAAGGTGAAATGTCTGTATTTATTTTGGTGTTATATACCTTAGGTGTGAAATATTTGAATGTGTAATTTTTTTACTAATACTATTGTATTAAATACTATTATATCTACTAGTCTATCTATATCAAAACACAGAAATTTAAATATAAAACCAAAAGATATTTGAATTTCTGTGTTTAGATATATTTTAAGTTCATAGAATAATAGTATTTTTTATATGTTGCAGATTTTGAGCATTTATTCCGAGGATTGGGCAACGCTGGCGGGATCAGTGGTGTCGAACTTATTATGAGTATGGAAGACCTTACACGGGGCGGCGTTCCCGTCAGTTTCGGGCCTAACACTGCTGCTGCTGTTGCAGCTGCTGCTGCAGCTGTTGCCAATGCGTCTGGCAATGCTACCAATACATCAGGCAATGCTACCAATGCATCAAGAAATGCTACCAATGCATCAGGCAATGCTACCAATGCATCAGACAATGCTAACGATGCATCAGGCAATGCTACCAATGGACCAGACAATGCTACTGGTACCGACAGTAACGATTCTTCTGACACTCAGCAAGCATATACAGTAAGAAACAGCGATGGAACAGAAACTGGTGTGAATTTGGGGCCTGTTACAAGAGTCACTGAGCACCCCAACCTCCTGCCAGGCATTGCCCCAGGATTGCCAACAGTTGAGGCTGGAGGTATTTTTGCATATATGTATTACTATTAGTTATTTTTCCAACACAATACTCAAGTATGTAAGTAGCTATGTACATCTGTGTATATCTTCCAAGGTGACCATGTGAACTTTGTATATAGTAACATTATAATAATATACACCATAAATTTATTAGACATACACATTATATATCGCCATACATATATATCTTATTATATAATGTAGTACTATTAGTATGTACTACTATATTAAAAAGAAATTAGATAATAAATAGGTAGAGAGGTTACCGCAAACTCTAATTAGTAACCTCAAATAGTTCAGCTACACAAATTTCTTTTTGAATTTGCTAATCGATCCAGATGGACTCGAAAGATTATGTGATATATATACATATATATCACATAATCTCTCTTATTTGACGTGATACCATTCTTTGTCTCTTTAATTCTTTTCTTTTGTGCCAGTTATTGTTTAACAATTGAATAATGATTTATGATACCGCCCATTGTCTACTTAAGTTCTTGTTGAATATATGATTTCTCTAATAGATATCGGTATGTTCAGAGTAACCGCTTTTAGTTTTTTTTTTATCTCCGTCACATTAATTCTATCATTGTTTTGTTACAGTATATCTTGCGCCCGTTACGTGGAATGGACCACTGAATGCCGATGTACTACAGAATATCGTACAGTCGGTTGTACGACAGGGCTTAATGGCTGGAGGCGAGGGGCCCGCGTCAAATGCTTCATCGCAGGCAAATCCTCAGTCTCAGACTCAATCAAATGAACAAAACCAAACTGGTCAACCAACTGGACAGGAGTCAAATCAATCCCGACTCCCACCGGGCACCCACATAATTGGAACACCGAATCTTGTACTTAGACAACGTAGGTTTTCACATGATGTCGCAATAATCCAAAAATGTTGCACTGTGAATAAACTATTAATAATTTATAAGTAAAATAACAGAAACTGAACGTATTCATAATTTACTGTTGGCATCCAAGACTCCACAAATAGACGTAATAATTCTATATGATGATATACTACTCAAAACAAAATAAGGGCCACCTGAATTTTCTTGAATTTTTGTAATATTAGCCTCGTATTTCAATAAATTTTGATTCAAATATTTGAAATGGGTTCCTTGAAATCTAATAAAGAGAAATAATGTTGGATTGGTTATCATTTGTTAAAAAAATTGCATTTTGCAAAATAATGAGATTATTAAGAAAAACTGGATTTAAAAAATGTGACATTTTCTTAAATACCGTTTAAGAAGTAATTTTTTTTATTGTTTAATATCTTGTGTGATCTCTTCGTTTATTAACACATTTCCATATGCTTGAAGGCATGTTCTAAATTAAATCGCAGACGTTATCTTGCGGAATCCACTCCCAGCATCTTTTCAGAACATGAATGAGTGAGAATGACATCTTGCTGCGTGTTTATGGGAATGTTACTTCCTCTGATACTGCTTTTTAGTCGATCCCACAAGTGCTTAATCGGATTCAGGTCCAGACTTCTGGCTGGCCACTGCATCACTTCAATTTCAGTTTCAGCTAATGTGGAGATCGTTACTTGCGCTGTGTTCGGTCGACTGCTGTCCTGCAGTAAGATCAACCATGGTCCGACTTACTGTGCAAATGGAATTATGTGATGTTGTACCACATTATTAAAGTACCTTTGGACGAATACAGTACCTTTATTAAAAATTACGAGCTTAGTCTTTCATCGTAGAGTTATTCCGCCCCAGGTCATTACACTGGGGCTACCAATATGGTCTGTTCTGTGTATGCATAGACCTAAAACCTTTTCTCCAGATCTACTCCCCACTGTAATACGTGGATCGTCAACCTAAAACTTAAGCTTACATCATCAGTAAAGAGCACACACAGAGTTTGGTCGCTCACATGAGTGCCTGTAGCTCGGCATAACGAGTTTTCTACGGTCCGCGCCGTAGACGTCCGCTCTCTTCGTGCAGTTTAACGGATATATTGGTCTTCTTGAGCTGTTGTATCCCCAACTCTTCCTGATCCACGATGTCTGGCGACATTATCCATCTCCTGGTACCGATTCCAAACGTTTTAAACTGCCCGCCACTAATACCCTAACATTAAACCTTCAGCGCGCTTACTGTGACCCTCCTGGATTAAGGTTACGACCCTAGTCGCAGTAAGTGCATCCATATCACCCCTAACACGAGGCATTTTGAAATCAAAGACACAATATGAACCGTCTGCCCTGTTAATGCAAGAAACACTAATAAAAAATTATAAAATTAAATGTCACCTAAACACAATATTCAAGAGTTATCAACTTAAGCGATAAAAAAAACACACAAAAAGTGTACCCACCAAATAAATTTGTCACTATAAACATTAGTGACAATTTAAAGAATCCATAATTTAACATTTACAGGCTATTACAAACTTGGAACAATAGTAAAGTGTGTTTATAGTATTATTTTATTAGTGGCCCTTATTTTGTTTTGAGTAGTATATAATATTATGTAATTTGAACAGTAAACAAGCTCACAGCCCAACTTATGGTGAAATACGTACAACACATGGTATCCATCTTTAAATATCATCTTGTAGGCCTGAACTACAAATTACCATTGCCATATATGACAATATACACGTCTCAGTATATCCTAAGGTTTCATTGGCCTTCAATAGAAACAGTTTTAATTGTACTAATAATAAAGTAATGCATTTTAGTGTTATGGAGTCACTAATCTCCTATGTATACTGTGTCAATAGTTACCTTTACACACCGCGTTCTATCATGCGCGAGATTTAGCGCGGAAAAGACTAGAGCGCGCGCATTTGTGAGTGATTGTTTTCATTTTTTTTGTTCTCCATTTTGCGTGTGATTTCATTTCATATTATTTCACATTATTTAAAAACAAACAAATATGTTCCATAGATTATATTTTCATATACATGTTTAAATGTATACATTCTTTGATAACTCTATTAATGTCTTTGCTCCAAATATCCGCCATTTTACAATTATAATTAATAAAAAAGTTGCGAAAGTACGCACGATTAAAAGCCGCGAGAATACGAGACAACGCCATTTTCTCGTTTTCTTTGACGTTTGTCGTCTGACGCTCATCAGAGAAACATAACTTTTTGCTGTAAGAAAGCCGATACGCTTACGATTAACTAAGAACGTAGGTGTAAAGGCAACTAAAGGCAAGTATAAGCAAAATAATAGTTCTTACGTATATGCGACAATAAATATAATACTGAATTTTATATTACAGCCGGTGGTTTGCAGTTTCGCCGACCAAATACTACTCGTGCTCAGGTTGAAGCTGTGACCAACATGTATTACGACAGATATTTGCACTGCGACAATGTGTTTGCTCGCCGTCGCGTACAAAGGCGCAGGTAGGAAATATTAGTTAAAAGTATTCCGCTTAAGGAGTGAGACAGTTCAATATATTCCAGAATTTAAAAAATATGATCGTCGACAATTAAAAAAAGCTGCATTTAATGTACATATACCAGTTACTTGGTGAGATTGCAGGCTAATATAATATAATATCTATCAAATCAAATCAATGTACATTCTACGTTCTGTACTCTGCTGTCTACCTATGAAATCATAATATTTATTTAAAAGAGCAACACATAAGTTTCTTGCTTATTCATCTAGTGATGCATCTGCATTCCGAATGAGCAGTAGAATAAAAAAACTTGACTATTCAACAGTGCTTATATTAACTTTATTTGAATAAATATTATTTATATTTCTATTTCAATGGGAAGTCTTCAACTGTAATTTACTTTAATAACTAAAAATGCTCTATAATCCATTGTTGCACATAGGTCTTTATTCAATATAGAAGAATTTAGTTATTACTTGTCTACTGAGGACATTGTTTCTAAATTTTCTTTGTTTATGCTGATATTCAGTGTTTCATATAAGCTTGATTTTCCTAGTTGCTATTTACGATAACATGACACTTAAATAGACGGGTGTTCTTCTTCGTCACTATATGGATTTACTTTATATTTAGGGACTTGCATTTTGAACATATTGCGAGCCAGGAGCAATTGAGAGCTGAACGCGCCGCCGCGCGGAATATAGAAATGCTGAGGCTGAGGAATACAAACCTCACTGAGGTAAAATACTAACACGCTGAGTAAAAGATTTGTACTATTCTACATATTTGTTAAAACTCAAAGTTCATTATTGGGCCCCAAAAGCAATTTTGGTTTATTGTATAAGATGTTTGTTTTATTTTATATATGAGCTGGACGGATATGCAGTAAATTTCATACATATACAGTTAGAATATACCGGATCACTACATACAGTATGTGACTTGTAGTAGGTTAGTTCACGAAATGTGATGGAAAAATTCCGGGTCCTTCATGAAGATGAAATGTATGTATTTTTATTTTATTAAATTGACTTGTTTAATATATACAACACTACTGTTACTGTATGCATACAATAACGGGACACTGCCGTTTCTGTCAAATGTGCCTGGAGCCATATCCTTAGATTTTTTTAAAGATGCTTGTTAGAAATATTGTCTAATAAAATGGTAAATACGGAAGTAATGATGCTACGAATATATAAATATTGAGTTATATATTTAAATGTGCTTCATTGATTTTTTTAATTATTATAAATAGAAACAATGAGTATTAATTTGTATTTACAGGACAACGTCCAGACCATGGTGCAATTACTTAATGGTCCACCAACAGAAGAAGCATGGATGAATGCTGTTATGGTTGCTATTGTAAGTTACTAAATATGTGTGTACATTTAAATTATAAACAAGTGATAATTGACAGTTTTTATTAATTGCAATCTTATATTGTGTACACAAGCTCTAATGTAGTTGCGTTTGTCCACAGTCTCGTCATTTGTTCTTGTCAGAACTGATGTATGCTGTGGCTGATGAGAGTGCTCTCATGCCCAATGAGTTCCAGGCCGTGCGGCTTTTGCTTCGCAACTATATCGAGACATTGCTTGAACGCTCCGGTTCAACTGATGGGCAAAATGCCTTTGAAGCAGTTGCTGACTTCCTCGTCAGTGAACAAACTCAATTTATTGAAGGCATGGTAATGTATTTAAATTTCAATTCTGTTTATAATATTCTTGTTTATGTAATGTCTTATGAAGTGTTATAAAAAATAATAGATTCACGGCTTTATTTTTTTTGCCGGTGAGGACATTTAGAGATTTCTAAAATAGCATGTATACATCAGACTGACTGAGAGCCTAAACCAATGAGACATCAAATTTTTTATTATGAATATTGGCTCGTTCTCTCAGGTAGATATTCAAAAAGATTATCTAAATCTTTCTGGGAATAGAAGAAATAAATGGTTTGGTTAAATGAAACCATGGTATAGTGATTGTTTAGTGTAACGATTAATAAGGTGGTAGTATACATGAGTACACTGGCGGATTGAGTGGCTACATTGCGTGTTGATTAGAATAAATAATGCACTGGACTTTGATAAGCGTCGAGCTACGAAGTTAACTGAGGGTGAAACTAATAAATGTTAGACTTCAGACTCTTGAACATCGATGCGAAGTGGCCAGCCTGTTATTGATTTATTGAATGCACTTTGACGAGTGCGCACAAGTCCTGCATCACTTGATATTGTGCTTTTTATCACCGAACTATACCACGGACTCTAGAATTTCATCCTTACGTTCAGGAAATTCCACACATTCAGACTGATCGGTTTGCGTTATCATTTTTAATATATACTGCCAAAGAGTGGAATACACTACCAGCGTTTGTGTTCACGGATAAATACAATCCCGGACCGTTCACCATTAAATTCAATGGTGAATTTTTTCTGGGTAAGTTGACTACATCCTAGGTCTCGCTATAATTTTCCATCAAATGACCAAGCGTCAACCCATTTATAATAGAATATAAAACACTATTCGTATGATTCGCTGAGTTACAAAAAAAATTGTTTAAACAATTTAAATTAGTGTTTATTATAAACTGCCTGATATGATATTAAATTTAAATGACTTTGTAATGGCAGCGCAACCTGACCAGACTGCGTGCTGACGTGGATCCGTACACATCCATTCGAGCTTTAGTTCGCTCCCGTTTACCGGCCGTCATCGCGTGCGTCATGTCCGAGGCAAACACTGAAACGTTTGCTCTACGTTTCTACAGCGTCTTTTCACGTTTCTTCATCGATATGTGCACACTGATCTCCTATTGCTGTGAGAATGGCATTGATGGATTACGCATTATTTATATGTCGTACTTGGTAAGTATCTATTGTACAGGTAAACGTATATAAATATTAGTATTATTATAAATATATTTAATTATACGGTATATATATGAGTAATAAAATAAACAATGTCAGTTACCAACTAGGTTTCCTACATGAAAGTAAAATCTTTTTATGGAGCTCTTAATGCAGTCCACACCCGTTATTATGCTCGAAAATCAAATACCACGTTAAATATAAGCATAAATACACGATGGTAGTAAAATTGCTGAAATTTTGCAAACAAAACTGCAAACAAAACAAAACCAATCATTTTACAATGTCAAAAACAGTGTATAAAGTGTAATGTTCCATAGGAAAATATGCAAACTTTTCAATTTTATATATAGGAACAAGCAGTCCAAAACTATGATGGATCAGTGCAAGATTTGTTGCTCACTCTTAGTACTGGCAACTTGAACGGGATTTTGCAAAATATGGACTCTCACATGGAGGCAATACAGCCATTTATTCGACGAACGGGATCACTTGCTTTTATAAAGGTACTATTACTTTTATTTATATATTCAACATTTCTGAACTATGAATGTTTATAAATCTATTAGAACACACATTATACGTACATAAAAGTAGTTACAGCCAGACGGACAGTAGGACGATATTAATACGTATTATATTTTAGCATGCACGTCGTTTCGCTGAGCGCAACTTTGAACCACCGTTGCCAGTGGAGATTCCCCTACCACCCACATCGCATAGCAGCGGAGAGTCGGCGCACAGCACTCCGCCTTCAACATCTGCGCTCAATTTGACCGTTTCACGCCGCTCGGACGAGAGGCCAGCTGGAACTACACCCCAAGTTGGGACTGCTGTCAGCTCTGCTCGTGCATCGACATCCTCTGCGAGAACAGAAACAGCGACCTCTAACAGTTCCGCGCCGATATATCATCAAGCTAACAATTTTTCACACACTGCGTCGAATTCGTCAAGGTATTTTAATTAATACAAAATTACCTTAATGCTCACATATATGTGTTATCAATAAAGTTATGTGTGAAGTGCTGGGAGTGATGCAGATCAGTTCATTAATTTTGTATACTTATAGGTAATAATTTTATTTGTCACGTAATTACAAGAAATCCAACAAATATTAATTTTTTGCTGAAAGGTTAGTTTAATACCAAAAATGTCTTCTTTCCTTCGGTTTGTTTATGGAGAAAATACCTTACCTTGTCTACTTTGAATTTTATATTCTACTGCAAATAATATGTATATATTTTTGTCCTTTTGCAGTAAAGTAAAGTTGGATCTTAATTGTAAAAACTATTCCAAAAAGGAGGGAGAGACAGAGAGAGAGAGAGTAATTGTATTTATATGTATTACATTTTTATTGAATATAATTGATTATTATTTTTGTACATATCTATGCAATTATATTTTTAATTATTAATTTTAATTCGTTTGCAGGACTTCAAGGACTCAGAGGTCTGAAACAGTCACCACATCGACTGATGGTGCTCCCGATTCACCAACTAATATGCGATTTGTGAGTACTTTCTGTGAGGACACAGTACTGCATATAAAATAACAATGTCACCGCCTCGCCAGTCTGTATGTATGTTTGGGGTGATCTCTGAAATCACAGTTCGTTTTTCATTCGTTTTTCATTCATTAACAGAGTGATCTCTAATGGTTTGCATTTATAATTCAATTTGTGTAAATTGGTTTTCACCAGTTCTTGAACAACATCATCATTGGCATCTTGAACAACCAACACCCTTCGAAAGAAGGATGTTGGTTGTTCAAGAGTAATTATATAGCCATCGTTAATCTTAATTGGAAAGGCTGCCGTTGGCTTCCATCCGTTGTCAGTATGAGATGTAATATAACAATGTCACCATACATTGTTATGAATGTTAGATCTATAATCCTGCCATGGCATACATACATGTATATAATTTTTTTAAAGATAGAATACTATACCCGTTCGATCTTTAATAAATTCACATGTACATGTTATATACAAAATGTATATGTTTGGGTAACCAAATACATCTAAGTAGCTTTTACACTGATTAATCATTATTAAAATAAATCATTACGTATCTTAAGCATTACACATTATATTACCTCGTTATACCATAAAATTTGAATAGTTTAAAAGATATCGCGAAATACAAATTCATGCGGACTTTCATCAAATTAAACTATCGACATTTTGTTTGTCATCTACTGATATAACGACAGGGTTGATCGTGAAGGGTATACGAAGCTGAAAGCGACAATGTTTATGAAACTGAACACGTTCCTGAAGAAGAAAAGTGAAAATAATATTTAAAACACTTCATACGTAAAGTGACTAGTACCAGTGTTACGAAAAGTTTAAAAATGTTCTTGATGACAGTGGTTTGTTTTGATGGTATTAATAGATAGAACAATGCCTTTAGTTCAGCCACTTTCAATTAACCTTATATTTGAGGAATAATAAAGCAAGCAATTCTTTGTTTGCACTTTCGACTGATATAAAAATGCAAAAATATATTCTATCTGTGGGAAGCATTAATCCTTTTTAAATTCGGTTCGTGGTTGCACCTCCTGGATTGTTTAGTTGTTGAGTGAAGAATGAGAATGACTTATGACTATGATGTTTAGTAGTTTTGAGGGCAACAATTTGTGATTATTTTTGTCCGATTCCTTGGGAGACTAATTTTGTACCACTTTTAACATGACTTTTATTTAATTATTCGTTACGTTGAAAAGTCATAAGTATATTATTTATATTTATTTATGTAGGATACTTTATCTCTAGTACCGTTAAAATACTTCATGACCAAGTTATTGTGACAGGAGTTTTTCAAAGTTATTTAAAAATATATCCTTAGTAATATATCCATAATGAATAATATAAGACAAGAATATCGCAATAAATATGTAATAAACTGCTGTATGTACAAACTTGCTGTAAACTATGTGCAATGATTTTTTTAAACATTTAATATGTTAACTGTTTAATTTTTTTGAATTTGATTCAAAAGAATTGAATGGAATCTTAAGATATAAGTGCTTATATGTAAAGGTAATTTTATTTTTATATTTTATTTACTCCACTCCACACACGCCCACTCGGATCGCAGATTCATCGAAGAAGAATTATCAAGAACATGCCTGAAGCTCTTTTAAACTATTTTTGTGTAACTTTAAAACTGTCTGGACTTGAATATTGTTACAGTGCGCACTTATAACAAACTTTAATTTATAATGATTTAACGTAATTACTCATCACAAGTTCTAAAATTGATGTTCATTCATCATTGCTTCCTGCTTTGGCACGTTGTTTAACTTTAGAGATTGTCATGCTATTTTGCTTTCCGCCATTTATTTTAGTTATATACACATATTATATATTACTTATATATATGTAAAAACATCGTAATCAAACCGTGTTTGGACAATAAATATGTATTTATAATAATATATAATATAACTAATTTGCAGAAGTTGTACTTATATTGACAAGGTAAAAAATCATACGTTCAGAAACAAATTAGCATTGTTATTCCGCATTTTATTTGTACTAAGTCGCAAGCACATTAAAGTTAATAAAATCATGTTATGGGGTATCAATTAAAAATTTTGAAGTAATAAAACAAAATCATTTATATTTTAAGGTAGTAATCACACTAATTCAATTAAGTAAACTTCGTCAACTAGATTAATAGCTAGAAATTACCCCGGTCACATCAGTTTTCAAATAAATGTTATCAAAATCTGTTGTTTCCAAATCTTAAAAAATATGAAACCTACCATGTCACAAATGACTCATAGACAGTCAGGTTGTCATTAGTTAAATACGATTGGATTTTCAGCTCCTAAAGTAACCGATCTACCAGAGTTAGACTAGGGGATTTCAATCATTAAACTCATCCTTTATCTTGTCATACCTCTTTTTTATTGGGTATTGTAAATGCCGGTTAATTATACTTTATATGGGTATATATTGTAACTATTTATTGTGTGTAGTTATTTATATATAATCTACATGTGTATTGAGAGGTAAATGTATTTATATTTGACTTTGCATGTATGTTTTTAACTGTTGTCTATCCTATTGATTCCTCTCAGTTTCTCAAAAATTGACTGGAAAAGAACTCATGAATGAATGTAGTCCGCTAATGTACATTGGAACACCTTGCGTTTGTTATATATGCGTTTCCTCTGAAAATTATGCACAAATATGCTACGTTATCATTCATTCTCAGGTTCCTCCTGTGCTCATTGTGCAGCACTGGGGCGAAGAGTGGGTGCCGGTGTTCACTCGCGACCAGAACAGGCAGAGGAACGACTCACAGGAAGCGTACAGTGACGCTTACTTGACAGGAATGCCGTCTAGGAAACGCCGCTGTGTCAGGCAGAGCCGCCCAACCAATACGCTTGATGGCTTTATGAATGGTTCGTTTATTAATCTGTATGATATATACTAACAAATAAAAACTTAAAATGATTACTGTTCTACTCCTAAGTTACGATTTATGCAACAAAGCGCGAGCAGTAATAATTTTAGGTGCAGCAACATGTGTTCCAAGATCCTTTCCAATGCAATAAAATTATAAGATATGGGTTTTCTCAAGTAATTTGCCGCAAAGTTTACTCTATTACATTTGTATGGAGTGTATGGAAAATATTAAAGAAAAAAGAAATAAATGAAAATATAAATTTAATAAAATAAGATGTTTTTATTCTTATTAGTCATACTTAGTAAAGTAGTAAATGTGTTTATTTGTTACTCCTAGGGGACAATAAATTAATGAAAAAGGTGGGCTACTTTTTATTTTGGTCTCGCAAACGAAATTACACATAACAATATGCTTTTCCGCACTAGCCAAAATGGAACGATGTGTTCTGAAGAATATTCTATTATATTGCTCCTCTGTTTTTCTAAAAATGTGTTTTAATGTTGTATTTGTTATCTATTCAGAAAGCTCCAATGAGGCAAATGTGGAGCCCCCTCAAACTGAGGATAATAATACTATTCGTCATGCTCTACGAGAACACATGCGAAATATGGCCCGTAACCGCGCCTCCGGTTCGGACGACTATGAATCCTCGCGGTTCTCCACTACTGCCAGATTCGTCGACTCACCCGTGTATGTATATATTTTTCGTCTGTAGTGTCTAGCGGGAAATTGACAATATTATTCTCTGGGACATTTCTGCACGTCAATCTTATTACCTTAACAGCACGTTGGTTAAGTTAGTCTGTCAAATTGTAAAGACACCATCCCTTCATCTCACTCTGATTGGCATTCTGACTGTACGGATTTGATTTTTTGGAATCACAAAGAAATCATATATACTTAGTACTATCAATCAAAGCATAAAATATAACAAAATGGGTTCATGTTGAGATCATGATCGCGATGATACCAATTAGAGAAGTGGATGTAACGAGGCTTGTGACACATAATTAAATTATAACCATAGACACTTGCGTCTGCTTAATCTGAAAGGAAATTGATATGAAGATAAAAATATCAAACAACTGACTAGTCGTAGATAGAATACCTTCAAATTACCTTGAATATATGTATTTCAATGTTTTGAAAGTGTATTATTAATAAAATATGATTAGTGAATTGGATATGAATATGATTTTGAATTTAATATTATACAGAATTAAGTTTCTTTTTCATCTTTTTCGCAGGCCCAATAATCAGGAGCAGCCAGATACCGAGAACAGGGAAAATTCTTAAATATTGACGTTTTAGATTAAAGAGACGACAGCCCTTATATTAACCACTGTAATACATTAAGGTTTTCGCTTGTCTTCTCTTACCAAGCTATAAATTTAAAAAAAAAGAATATTCGATTAATTAAATGAAATTTGAAACTGCTTAACTATATTATTTAATTTAAAATTTGTCTATTTAGTGGAGTATCGTTATAAAAAATAAACTTAAAACCCTGGAATCCACAGCCAAGATTTTTGAATAAATATTAATAAAAGCTCCTGCATAGCATTACAATATCGTTACAACAGTAACAGTAACTTCAATATTACTTCATGTTGATTACCAAAAGCAAGAAAAGTGCTTATTATATGAAGATATATAGATTAGATATCTTACGGCACTAAATGCTGATTATTTTATTTAAAGATATAAAACAATATTTTAATCTCTACATATTTAGACTCTAGATCTTAATATATTTTATTTTAAGAGACACTGCAATTCATTTATTTTAATAAATAGTTGACTTGTTGTATGATGCCCAGTAAACATTGAACCAAGCTAAAGACATTCTTTTAAAGCATATATTATTCAAATTTATTTTTGTAATCATTTTGACAAGATTGTAATTTTATTTGAAATTCCGACTGAGTAATGGTTATTATATTTATTTATATAATTTAAAACAAAAGTCTCATTCGAATTTGAAAATATTTAACACATTTTACGTTGTAACAGTAGAATTATAATAGTACTCAATTAAATTCTGTTACACAGCTTGCAAAATTTATATTTGTTTTAAATTGCTAATTTTGAATGAATTAAATATAACTTATGATCTTATTGTTATTATAATATTATATAAACTAGTTAAGATGATTTAGTAGCGTACTTTAGTATATTTTAATATTTTCTTGATTAGTGCTTGCTGGTCTGTTCATCCACAACATAGTTTGTTTGTACTTGCTTATACTATAATTGTACGTTACATCATATATAGTGTAAGTTGTATTGGATTAACCACTGTATTGGTGTTAATATTACTCTTAGATGAGAACCCAGCAAATGTGTACTGCTAATTAGAAAAACACACTATGAAAAGACAGTTTTAAAAAACTTTAAAAAATGACAAACTTGAATGACGTTATTACTGGTATTCTTGTTGCCCTGGCGGCATATTACTAATTATATTTAAATGTTTAGTATAAAATTAATATAAATTATAAGTGATACTATTCTGTCTATGATGTTATTATTTAACGTAATCTTTGCAAAAAATTATGGCAGGTAACTATTTTGACAATTCCACATTAGTTGTATTACCCCAAAAGTGAAGCTACTTTACCTACTTTTTTTCTAAATACTTTATCTTAATTACTTTGACATATTTCGTACTAATCACACACCGTTAAATATTAATTTTCGTCTATAATTTCAAAGTACTAAATCCATGCATTTATTATTACATAATTTAATTCACTTTTATCTATGCATTGTACATAGTTAATTTCAATATTGAAGCAGTAGATTACTAAAGATTAAAATACATAATTGGCAACTCCTTATTTTTATTAAGTCGTTTGACTTGAAGATATTATTTTATTTATTTCGACATACCTATGTAGTATCTATGGGATCTTTTTAAGAGAGGAAGGTAATTAATTCTCAAGTCTGCCTCTTCACTATTACACATTTAGTCATAGGCTGGCTAGGTTGCCGGCACTATTTTATCCCACATCTTTCATAGACCATGTGGGCCGCTTGATTATCATACCAAATATCGTATTTACTCATTGTATGCCACTGTTAGACATCACCTTTAGACAGGAACTTCCCTATGAGATTGCTAACATTTATCTTTCGCTGGATTTTCCGACTTTAATAGGAATTACATAATGATTGTGTTTGACGATTTGTTGTCTTTCTTGTAGTATTCATAATCAGTAGTTCAGTACATAACATTGAAGACATTTATTCTATATTATAATATTTAGTAATTAATATGTGGCTGGTAATATAGGTAATCATATTAATGCATTAGTGATTTCTCTTGTATCACTGTCATTCTTTAATTTCACTGATAATTAACATTATATTATAATATATTACAATGCATGTTAAATAATAACCAAACATTAAAGTAGGAAGTAGTATTATAATTACATGATCGTATTATTATCACATAGTCGTAATAAAATATGTTATTGAATAATTAATTAATTATAATTTCGATTTTATTACTGGAATAATTTTGGATTTAATAAATAAATTCCTATAATGTTATATTCTACATTTTTACTATTTTACATTATTTATAGTTTATTCAGGATTATAATTTTACTATTATTATAATTTTAATTTGAATTTTTATTCTCTACTATACTTATATTCTAATGTCGATGTTATTATATGATTGGTACTAAGCCCGTAAAATAAATAATTACGTAGTTAGTTGTTGATTGTATCAAAATTGTACACTCGATATTGGCATAATATTCAGGGCAACATTTAATCATAACTTTGATTCAATTATTCGATAATATAACACAATTTTCATTTGAAATTGTAATTGATGTTAAAATTTAGAATAATTGATTAAAACCTGTAGTTTAGAACTTTTAGGCACTTTGAGAATGATACATATTTATGTCGTAGCATATAAGCAGTATATTATCGTACATTGATTAATCTCTCTCCTGTGAAATTCAGATTATTGTCACTACTGCTCACACTGAAATTAAATAAATGTCAAAATATCTTAGTTTTTATTTAATCCTAATAATGAATTCTCCCAAAACGTGAGGCTATTTTTGGTAATCAATATTTGAGAATAATAGTTTTATTTTGTATTTTAATCGTATCTGATTGGATTTTTTTGAGGCCAATAACTGCCTCGTGTATAGAATGCTAATAGCACATTACGAGTTACCCTCAGTGAATCATTAAGTTTAACATGTGTGCCTCCTGTTAAGAGGAATACATTCTTATATTTACTCATAAGAAAGGTTTCAGCAAATATTATATCATATTTTACTACTGTTATAATGATAAATACTATATCATCATTACATAGTACGAGTATAAAAGAAAGTCGTTGTCGCTATCTGTTCCTATAAACTACGCAATGGATTATGATAGATGATAGTGATTAAAGAGGAAGTTTCATATGTATAATAATACATGTACACCCGGGCGAAGCCGGGACGAGTAGTTAATTCTATATAAAACTAATAATTATTACAACTACACTTTACAGAAAGTACTTCATCCTGACCATATACCTAATCTTTGCGCCAATATGAATTCCTTTGTCCTAAGAAAATCTATGCAGTCCAACAATATAACTTATATGAATAAATTTAGTGCCGTGACTCAAATCGGGGGCCAATCGCGGTCCCATGTAGGCCGTAAGTACTAATTACCGCCAGGCAAAGCCATATACTGTACTAGCTGTATCTACGACTTCGTTCGCGTAAAATAGTGACCTTGACCAAATAATAAAAAAATATTTAATAATCAAACCCAATAAAAGGCAATGACAATTTTTCATATAGAATTCCATACAACTCAATCTACAGCCTAAAAAATAAGATTCGAGCTGCTAGTTTTAAAAGTGACGATGATTCCATACAATTTTTCATCTCCCCTTTCGTCCCCTTACACCCCTTTTTACTTTAATTATATTTAATCAACAGCCTAAAAAAATAATTTCTAGCTTTAAAAATGACGATACTTCCATTCATTTTTCCTTTCGACCCCCTTACATCCCTTTTTCGCACTAAAAAGTACCTAGCCTATTTTCTTTCTCAAACTTTATTTAAATCGGTTTAGTAGTTTTGGCGTGAAAGTGAGATAGACAGATAATAGTTATTTTCGCAATAAGGATTAGGCAATTAAATCTAATATAAAAAAGCAAGAAACTGTTCTCGTTGAACTTATCTCTTTTATATTTATATTTATTTTTCCCCCCTTGAAGCTAAAATTTTTACAACTTTGAATGTCATATTTATTTATATTTAATCAACTGCCTAAAAATAGATTTCAAACTTCTAGCTTTAAAAATAACGCCTCTTCCATAAAACTTTGTACCTCACCTTTCAACCCTTTTTCGCATTAAAAAGTAGCCTAAGTCCTTTCTCAGGGTCTAGACTATCTGTGTACCAAATTTCAGTTAAATCGGTTCAGTAATTTTGACGTGAAAGCGAGGCAGACAGACAGTCAGTTGTTTCTTTTTATTGAGGGGTTTGGTTTATTGTCACCTGTACATTGCGACCTGTATAGATCTATTGTGCACGCCCTTATTCAATGTTCGCTGACTAGACCCGTGAGGGACAAGAATTGAAGGTTAACTTAGGAGGGATGGTTTTTATCTTTTCAGGATATACAGTATATCCTATACCTTCTGGCATTCCCTGAATTGGGTCGCTCATTTACGAGTCTTGAATTGTGTTTATGATCAGGGAATGCTAAATTTACTCCTGTGGGAATTACGACAAACAGTTACTTTCGTATTTATTAGTAAGGATTAATGATCAGTTACAGAACAGCAGAAACTATTGATACATACCTACATTCGGTGATAAACAGGTTGTAAATAAAAAACACACTTGCAATAATTATATCATTTTATTGGTTTTCTCTACATGAGCCACGTATACATGAATCGAACAACAACATAAATTGAATTACAAGCGATAACTGCATATATTTATTGTAACTGGATAAGATACTTGTAATATTAGATAGACACTTTAAACGTTGATACAATATTACTTATTTCATAATGTTACAGTTGAACCTCAATAAACATTTATCTTAATTTAAAACATCCAATCTACAGAAAATTTCATACGATAAGGATTCATTTAATATATTTCTTTAGGATTGACACATTACATTTCAGAAATGCTGATTACAGAATTTGTAATAGCCTATAAATCTATGGATATTTAATTCACATTAATTAACATTGACATGCAGATTGAGTAAACACATACCTACTATTATTTCCTTTAATATATTGTTAAATATTTGAATGGATTAACTTACTACATTCGCTATATATAATAATTTTACATCAAAAGTGAAAAGGACTTTAAGACATTTATAGTGATAGTGAGAGGAAGTGAAGATTCTACAAATGATATGTCCAAAATGTTGGTACGTGAAGTTATTGCGACACAATCAGTGATAGTATATATATATATATATAACATTTAATATAACGTTTCAGTCTAAACATACTGTAATATGGTTAAAATTATTAGACTCTGAAAACCTTAGATAAGGCAACAATTTTACCTAAGTATTTTAAAAGTAGTAGAATGAGATCATAATTTAATTATATATAATCCTCTACGAAAATAAAACGAAAGGTAATAAGCTCAAATGTGATAATTCCTCTATTTATAATTTTTAATTAAGCTGTGAGGATTATGTAACAGCTTACAAAAGTATTGTCGAACATTATTCCTCTGCCTTAGAAAAGATAGCAGTCAAGGTTTAAAGAAGTTCTATTCATAGAACGAGATCACAAGATAGCACAATATTGATAATATGTTAACTATTAACTATAATAGGTACAGGTAAGTATTTAATATTAATATCGTAGAATCACATCGAGTATTTCAAAAAGTTTTATTGAAATTTAGGGCACACATAAATCTTATCTCGTAGGTATCTAACACTGAGCAAACGCCACAACCCGTAGAAGAATCAATTCAATAATATGAGTAGCATTTCTTTGGAAATAAGTAATGACTTCATAAAACTGAATTTATAAGTACCTGAATATGTAATAAATCAATGTAGGTATTAATATAGTTTCATAAATAATTAATATACGGTGATAAAAAGCATGTCCAGCACTGTTTCAATGCAATTAGGCACACGCGTAAAGGTATATTAAGTTACTTTATTAAGTACTTAAGTACATAAGTTATTCAGACATAATTATTCCATTCACTTTTTGATGAACATTGCAACATCTCAATTATTATGCTAGATCACATTTACCTACCTTTTAGTAGATGTATCTACCTAGTAAAAGAATGTTAAAAATGATATAATTAAATTTGAGCTTAATATA